GAGCGGGTGGCCGGGAGGACCCGGTTGAGGCCATCGATGGGGTCGTGGGCGCGCCGGGCAGGGCAGAGGGGGCGGCCCCGCGCACCGGTGGGGGGTGGGGGGGGAGGAGATGGCCTAGGCCCAGGACCGGGACCGGCACCGGGCTCGGGCTCGGGCTCGGGCTCTGCCGTTTGGTCGAGTTGTCTTGGTAGATTTTCCCGGGCTTGGGAGGCGCGCGGTGTCCGAGCGGGGTGGGAAGGACGAGTTAGCGGTGGTCGCCCCCGGGCTGTCCCGGAGCCCCGGCGAGCCCGGGCCTGTCGGTTTGTCCATTCCCGTAGAAATGCCCGGCGAAGCCACAGAAACCGTCCCGGCCACGGAGCAGGAGCTGCCGCAGCCGCAGGCGGAGACAGGTGAGGCCGAGGGGGTTTTGGGGGTGATTCCCGGGATCCTCCCGCCTGCCGGGATCTGCGGGAGGGAGCGGGCGGCTGCCGCTATCCGGGGAGGGTGGGCCGGGGCTCTCCCGGTGGCGGCGGGGGGCTGTGTGACCCCGGCTCGAGTCTTGTCACCTCCTCCGCGGTGGTTTTGGGGTGTCCGTGTCCTCGTGCTGTGGCCAAAACAAACCGGGCCGGTTCTGTGGTTTCCCACCCGAAACACGCGGATTATCCCGCAGGGAACGTGACCGGAGTCACGGGAGTGGGGACCCCTCGTGTCCCCACGTCCCGGGGATGGCTCGGAGCCTGCTTTGGGTGGTCCCCGGTTACGGGGGGCAGTGGGAGGGAAGCGGCTGTGGCCAGGCCGGGCTGTTGGATTTGGGGGCCCGTCCCATTGGATTTGGGGGATTTTCCTGCTGGATTCGGCGGTTTCCCGTTGGAATTTGGGTCTGCTCCATGACTGGGTGTTGTTACCCCATCTGAGGGGGCCGTTCAGGGCACGAGGGTGACCGGGGCTCTCCTGTTGGATTTGGGGGTCTCCCCAGTTGGAGTTGGGGGTCTTGCCGTGGATTTGGTGTTTTGCCGTTGTTTTTGAGGGCCTCCTCCACTGGATTTCAGTGTCTGCCCCGTTGGATTTGGGGGTCTCTCACTGAATTTTGTGGGTCTGCCCTGTTGGATTTGATGTCTGTCCTTTTGGATTTGAGGGTCTTTCATTGAATTTTGGGGGTCTGCCCTGTTGGATTTGGGGGTCTTCCCTGTTGGATTTGGGGGTCTGCCATTGGATTTGGGCACTGTCCCATTGGGGGACCATGAGGGTTGGTGACAAGGGACACAAGGAGGAAGCTGAGTGATGGCTGTTGCTGTGACAGCTGCACCGATGATTCCCAGGGAGCTGCTGAGCTCCTTATCCCTCCCGGCGTAGCTGGAATTCCTGTTTGGGGCCTCCCCCCTCCCTGGAATGGCTCTTCTGTCCCTCTCAACTGACAACTCCCAAAATTGGGCTGTGCTCAAGTCTCTGATGGTGTCCTGGGATTCCTCAGGCAACTCCTTGGATTTTCATCTTGTTCCATGGAGGTCAGCTGGTCCCTGGAAAAACCCTGGAGATGGGACTGGTGCATGCTGATCCAGAGGGGCTCTCAGCAGGCTCTGCCACCCAGGTGCTTTGAGCATCTGTTAAAAATCCTGTGGTTTTAGGGAATATTTTGTCTTGGTGATGTTTAAGAAGGGACCAAGGAAAGGTGGGGCTGTGGGGAGAAGCAACGAGCAGGAATGATTGTGTTTATCAGGAATGTGCTCAAGCAGTGCCAGTGGAGCTGGCGAAGGAACAGGGAGAACAGGCAGGGATAAAGGATTGTTCTGGAGAGGGTGGCTCTGAACAGCCTGTTCTGTGACGGGCCCAGCACAGCCCTTGGCAGGACTTGTTGCTCCTTTTGGAGGCACCAGGACATTCCCTGGGGCAGGAAGTGTCCTGGCACCCGCTGGCACTGATGTCCAGCTCCAGGCCTCCCACAGTCCCATGGTTTGGGGTAAAACAGGGCAGTAGAAGCATCTTCCATGACCCCATTCCTGGAGCAGGGATGTCATTCCCTGAATTCCATGCACATGTCATGTTGGGTGGCAGGACACAACTGTGACCCTGATCCCACAGCACATGGCAGGGACAGGATCCATGGAATGGGGCTGGCTTTGAGCTCCCGGTGCTGTGCCAGGACACGCTGCCGAAGGGCGGCACCGTGGCTGGGCCGGCTCTGCTCTCCCAGCCGGCAGCACCGGTTGGACCAGCACTGCCCTCCCCAGCTCTCGTGGGCTCTTCCCTCGGTGGTGCCCTTGGATCTCCAGTGGGTGCTGGGAATTTCGTTGGGAATGTCAGGGCTCTCTCCAGACTCTCAGCTCTGGCTCAGGAGCTGGGAGCTCAGCCCTGTCATGGCCTCTTCTCTAAAGATTGCTGGCTGGCATTGGGAATTTCGTTGGGAATGTCAGGGCTCTCTCCAGGCTCTCAGCTCTGGCTCAGGAGCTGGGAGCTCAGCCCTGTCATGGCCTGTTGCCTGAGCGGTGCCCTTGGATCGCCAGCTGGCGTTGGGAATGGCCAGGCTCTCTCCAGGCTGCCTTGGACCTGGCTGGGGAGCTGGAAATCAGCAGGACTTGCCTTAATAAAACTTTGTTCTCCCCGTTCAGCTCCAGCTGCCCCCGTTCCTGCTCCCACCCCTGCTCCAGGTACTCGGGACCCTCCTGTAACCCCTCGTGTGCCGCATTAACCAGCGTGTGCCATTATGGGGGTTGCAGTTCCATTAACCCTAACAGCTTCCAAGGAACTGGGGGGCCTGGCCCCACCACCCCCAGGTCGTTGTGCCCTCAGGGCTCCTGCCTATGTCACCCATGGCTTGAGGGAGGGGGCTCCCAGGTAACTCCAGGAGTAATTCCACGGATTATATTTGACTTTCCTTTCCTCTAATCAGGTGGGTCTTTGTTCCCCCATGCTCCCAGCAGCTCTGGGGCTCCACAGAGGTTGTGACAGCCCCTTTGGTAGGGCAGAGCCAGTGCCAGAGCTGGATCTTTGCATCCCTGGCCTGCTGGAGCTTGCTGGTGGTTCAGGGAGTGCCTCCTGCCATTCCAAGGCTTTTGGGAAAATCGGTGCTGTGTTCGAGAAGGGGATGAACGTCCTGCTCCGTGCTGACCCTGGCAGGCCAGGCAGTGCCTGCTGGGCCAGAAGCCAGGCACAGAGGCCAGAGGAAGGCCAGGGCTGGCCACCTGCCCCCTCCCTGTCTTTCCTTTTCTCCCTCCCTCCTCTCATGGCTCACTCTGTTTCTCTCCTTCAGCTGTTCTTCATGCTGCTCATTCCCCACCTCTGACTCCATCTCCATCCACCCCGGCTCTCCCAGCGCAGCCTCCCAGCGCTGCCACGGCTCTGCCGGGCCCCCCTGGCCCCGTGTCCCCCCCTGTGGTCCCGGCTGCAGCCATCCCCGTGTTCTCTGTGCCTCCCCAGCCCCCTGCCCCGGCTCTGCTAGGCCCAGTCACCACTGCCCCTCCTGCAGCTCCGCAGGCCCCGGTGGGTTTTGCAGCCCCAGGATCTCCAGGGCCTGTCCCGGTTAGCCCGGCTTCTCCAGGATTCCCAGCTCCGGTGTCACCTGGCCTGGCTGCTGCTTCTGCTGCAGTGACAGTGGCCCCTCTTGCCCCTGCAGTGAGCCCCAGTTCTCTCCCAGCTGCTCTCGCCTCTCCCATGAAAACTGTTCCCGCTGCTGCCTCTGTGGGAGCTGCACCTCTGGCCCCACTCCCTGCTCCTGGAGCAGCCCCAGCTCCTCTCCTGCCTCCCCCATCCCGTCCCCTTCTGGCATCTCCCCCACCAGTGTCTCCCACTTTGCTGCCTGCTCCCACTGTGGCAGTGTGTCCCCAGAGTCCGGGATCACCCGCACTTCCCACAGTCCCGGTGTCTCCTGGAATTCCTGCTTCCACCCCGCTGGCTTCTGTTCCAGCCTCTCCCCGAGCTCCAGCTCCAGCCCTGGTTGGTGCCATCTCTCCCCCTGTCTTCCTGGCTGCCCCCAAAGCTCCCTTGTCACCCCCTATCCCTCTGCTGCCAGCTGGGGTGTCCCCTGGGCATCCTGCAACTGTTCCACCAGGCCCAGCCCCTGGTGCCCCAGTCTCACCACTGGTCCCAGTTGCTCCTTCTGTTGCCAGGGCCTGTCCCGTGGGCCCTGCCCCGGTGGTCCCATCTGTGGGACACCCAGTCCCTCCCTCGGTAGCCAGGACCCCTCCTGGGAGCCCGGCCCCTCGGGCTGCACCTGTGGCTGCAGCAGCTCCGGTGGTTCCTGCCCTGTCCACACCTGCACTGGGAGCTGCCAGCTCTGTCCCAGGGCCTCTCACGAGCCCCGTGTTCCCAGCAGCAGCTCCTGTGTCTGCTGTCCCCTCTGCCAGCTGTCCCCCTGTCACACTGGCCATCCCTCCTGTGGCCAAACCAGCTCCTGG